CATGAGCTGATCTAAGTACCCAAAGTCTTTTCTGCTTCACTTCTCTTAGGTCATTGATTTGCTCAGTGTTTTCCATCTTAAGAGAGTCTGTCCTATAATTTCAAAAATTGTTTTATAGGTTATGAACTGAAATGCTGCAGATGAAGACACAGTATCAGTGTAGCTTAAAAAAAAAAACCCAAACAAAACCAACAAACAACCCACCAATCAAAAAGACGAACAACAATGCATACAATAGAACAGAAGTAATACTTTATTTAGAAGAAATAGATTATTTCAGTTGGAAGGGGCCTACAACAGTCACCTAGTCCACTGGGCTGACCGAAAGTTAAAGGATGTTATTAAGGGCATTGTCACAATGCCGCCTCTTAAACACTGACAGTCTTGGGGCATCGACCAATTCTTTAGGAAGCCTGTTCCAGTGTTTGACCACCCTCTTTGCAAATAAATTTGAAACTGTAAATCTCTTTTGAAGTCTCCTGATTTAATTGGTTTGTTCTAGATACTAGAACAGTAAAACTAACAATATTGCAGGAATATGGGGACTGGGGAGATGACAAAACATGATTCTTTACATTAATTTGTCAATTCTTCTTGCATTCTTTTAGGTAAGAACTAGAACGGTTGCTGAATGTGTGGCTTTCTATTACATGTGGAAAAAGTCAGAACGTTATGATTACTTTGCTCAGCAAACAAGATTTGGAAAGAAGAGATATAACCATCATCCAGGAGTTACGTAAGTAAAACGTTATTTGCAACAGAAAATATATTCCAAGAGCAAATGTAAAATACTTTTTTTCTTTCTTCCTGTCGTTGCAGTGTAATGCTGCAGTGGCTATGGCAACTAAAATTAAATCTATCGTCATTTTTAGGCCTTGCTTTTCTGTTAAATAACCTATTATGAATGCCATATTCTTTAAGGGACTACATGGATCGTTTGGTAGATGAAGCAGAAGCCCTTGGTGGAGCAGTATATTCTTCAGCCTTAACATCTAATACTCGAACAGAAACCAGTCCTGATCAACAGCTAAGCATTCTGAACTCTATTACTGCAAATGAGTTGACAGGTAAATCAAGGCAAAATCCCCAAACAAAGCAAACAAAACCTTAAACTCTTTGTTGTAACTATATAAACAACTATTTCATCTACATTTTGTTCTTTTTTTTTTTTTTTTTTCCCCAGTGTTGTCAAACAGTGTAGCTACCGTCTGCCACACTTCGCATGTGAACTGCCTGGATGACGCCTTTCCTCCTATGGACAGCTTACCCCGAGCACCAGTTAATCATGTGCCTGTTGGAACAGAAGAAATGCTTAACTTGCCTAGCAATGGTGAAAGTGATTGTTTTCATTTATTTGAGACTGGCTTTTATCATTCAGAGCTAAACCAAATGAACATGTGCAGTGAGGAGACAGAAAGACCTGCAAAGAGATTGAAAATGGGAATTGTTGTCCCAGAACCTTTCATGAATGATGTCTCTGTAAATAACCTTGGTGCGGACTTCGAGAATCACACACACCATATTACCAGTGCCAAAATGGCTGTTTCAGTGGCCGACTTCAGCAGTCTATCTGCAAATGAGACAAATGGTTTTATGAACACCCATGCTCTTCACCAACATACTGCCCTTCACTCAGAATGACTGGAAAACTAAACAAACAGTGGGTACTTTTATGCAGTAGTAGTAGTAAACTTGATGGGAGTTATCGGGTTTGCTTAGTCTTTCACTGGAAGTTTGAACTTTGACATCAGTGATGTCTTTTTATGTATAGAACTATATCTTGATTTATCAAGAGTAATTTCTTTTTTTCAGTCCATAAATGTGGAAATGTTTGGCAGAGTGGTGAGTTCTCTCACCACTGAGAGAACTCTGTGGTGCAGCTTTAAGCTCTGCTTCAATTTTTTAAGCCTGTAGACAGAGGCCACCAATTCAAAACCAGCACAGTAGTTCTGAACTGTTTGGAGTGGCTTTGTAGTCTAAGTTACTTTTGCTGTAATGGATGCAGTGTAATAACAGTGTTTACAGGTACCGATCCTGATCTCTGCTCAATGTAGCATTTTATTTTTTTCCTTATAAAGGCAGGGATGGGTTTCTTTTAAGTTAAACTGCAGAAACGTATGAGGATGTTTTTTAAGTGAAACCTTCTCTCATGTGATACTAAACTAGAGCACTTCAATTTAAAAAACAGCAAATTCATCTTGGTGGAAGTTAGCACAAGGGACTTTACTTATGTTAAGTATGAAGACCTACACTTGGATGCTGTTGCAAAATTATAGGCCATGGCTACTTTACACAGAAGTAATTATGCTGCCAGAGGTATCTGTGTACTTTAAACTTACTGGCTTAAACAGGTGCATTTTAGGCTATTGTATTCAGATGGGTTTTGTCCACAACTTTGAAGATTATTGCACCTGTATAACTTCACTTTCCTAAGGCATCTGATGTTGTATAAAGCTACAGTCTGCACATCTTTGGATTTACCACTAAACAGTCTACATTTTGGAAGTCATCTTAAATTGTTTGTAGCACTGCAGTTCAAAGTGTTACAGTTCTGAGGGACTATCTAGTTTCTATATAAACAGTAGAACCTTGAAGTATGCATTTTTGAAAGTCTTTCTTCAGTGTGGATTGCATTTATTTGTTTTGGCAAGTCATTGGCTCAAAAATGGCACTTCACTACCTTGGTCAAATAGGAAAGACAAGTAAAAATGTTTCCCATAAAAGCAACTATTTAACTTCAGTAAATTTAGCCATCCATAAAGTTTGTCTTGCAAATGTTTGTTCTAATTCTTGCAGGAGAATGTTATTTTGGTAGGAGTACCCCTTTTCCTCTATACTTTTTCTTTGCACTGTTCGTATTACAAATTTAATTGCCACTAACTTGTTTTCATTATTGAAGTGATTAAATTTGTGTTGTTGATATTTGTAATAGTTGCTTCAAGGTTATACTGAGTAATTAGAAAGTAGTGACTTTAATATTAGAAAGGGAAGAGGGTATTTATTATGCATACTGTGAACTGCATTGACATCCTGAGTTTTGGATGCAGCGTATGGAGCTTTCTTGACAGCATTGTAGTGAAGATTGCTTTGAAGCATTTATGCAATAGCACGTTTACCATATTAAAAAAAAAAAAAATTAGTTTAGCATAATGGACAAAAGTGAAGATAATTTTGTAATCAGTTCTTAACTTAAATGTTTGAAATATGTAATTCTAGTAAGTACACAGTAAATAATGGGTAGCCTTGGCCCTGTGTTGTACTCTGACATTTTTAGCCTAGTTGTCACCTTGTTGCTGTGTTTTGTGCTGAACTGTGTACCTTTTTTCTTTTGTTTATGAATCAACACATTTTATGTAACTTTGTAAAATACTGCTCATAATCCTTCATTGTTATACGTTCATGTTTATGGGTTTACAGTGCGTGGCTGGTCTGTATAAAAATCATTATACAAAGATGACTGAATGCTTATACCAGTTGCACTTAATTTAACATGTCCATTCTCATTAGCTGATGCAGTAATATATTCAATTTATCTATGCATTGCTGGGATCTTAATGTAGACAGAGACTTGTCTAGAGTTTGGGTTGTCAGCAAGTTGAACAGACACTTTAGTTACTTAATAAAGACTTGACCAAAATTCAGAAAATTGAGAGAAAAACTAATTCCAGCTAGTCTAATAAACTTTAAAATGCTGATCTCATTTAGCCTGTTGGCTAGGTAGCTGGTATCATTTACTTTCAATTCCTTGTTAAAATGAGGCAATAATTTGCAAGATTTTGTAAATATGTAAATTCTTCATATCTTTGAGAGATCTATTTCAATATTTTCAGACTACTTCTGTGTATAGTAACATTTTTGTGCATGCCTGATGTGACATCGATAAATTTATACCACTATGAGATTATCCATGTAAAATAGCTATTTATTGAAAATTTTCTTTTGGAAGCTGCACTTAATTATCTTTCAGTTTAAACATTTAAAATGGAGAAGTTGTTACTGTTTATTAAAAGAATTGTGTTTTGAAAGTCAGCATGAAGATAACTGAATTGTGACCATATGAAGAAATATTGCCTTGGTTTTTTGAAGCACAATTCTTATCATAAACTGTGATAAATTCTTTGTCCTCTGCCATACTTTTTGTTCATACACACAAAGCAAAAATCCATAATGGGCAATTGCAGTGTTGGTAAATGTATCCTTTTTATGTACAGGGAATCTGAAGAGGAAAGCTGATTCATTTAGAAGTGTAATGTGGTGCTGTGATTATAGCAATACTTTTATTTTGGTTGCTTGTATGTCATCATGCGAGGTTTTTAAATGTTTAGTTTTCCTCTTGTCATGGTCAAACTGCTGAAATTACTTGAAGGATACTAAATTGTCTACTATTAGGTCAATGAATTGTGCAATTGTTTCCTGGTTTTAATTTTGAAAACTGACAGTTAAAAATGTATGAAAACTTCAGATCAAGTAGAACATAATGATACTGCATAATTTAACCAAAGTCTTTAGGTGAATATTTCAACTTTGAATGTAAACTAATGGATAAAATGACCAACAGGAACACTATTTGCCCAGTACTACAAGCACATTGTCTACAGCTGGGGAAACGAAATACATTAATTTATAAAATAATGACAAGGTTACTATATTTTTATTTCTATTTTTCATTGGAAGAAGGAAAGTACTATCAGTTGCAAAAGACAGTTGGTAGGGATAGTCCTCTTAAAACAAAGATTCCAGTTATTCAAAGTACATACCCTGTGCATAACAAATTTAGTGACAATCGGAACATGTTTTTAATATCAGATCTTCAAGAGGAAGTTGCTGTTGTTGCATTGGTTTTAATATTTGTACATAAACACTGATTTATTTTTTTAAGCATTATTTTGTATTTGTTGTACTTTAATACCTGGTGTATAAATCCAGAAATAAATTTTTTGAAACCTTTATTTATAATGCAGATGTATTAGAAGATTTTACGTTTGCCACTTCCTTTTCAGAGTTATGTAGCACTAACTCTGAACACATTTTAAGATACTTGGGGTACTGCTGAAGTGAGTGCTACTGCTCTACCTAATGTTACAAATGAAATATTCTATAAGCAGCTGGGAGAAGTCTCATGATTGCTAGCCCTTGTTCTCAGGGAGGACTTCAACCAACCAGATGTCTGCTGGAAATAGAGTACAGCAGAGAGGAGACAGCCTTGGATGTTCCTGGAGTGTGTTGAAGATTACTTCCTGACAGAGCTGGTGAGTGAGCCACATAGGAAAAGTGCCCTGCTGTTTGAAAAGAGAAGGAATTGTGGGTGATCATGAAATGATAGTTTTTGATTTTCTGAGACGTGAGGGGGTGGGGGGGCAGTAGATCTACCTTGGAAATCCAGAGGGCAGACTTTGGTCTGTTTAGGAGCCTGATAGATGGAGATTCCCTTGGGAGGCAGTCCTGAATGGCAAAGGAGTCCAGGAAGGCTGGACATTCTTCAAGAAGGAAGTCTTAAAGGTGCAGGAGCAGACTGTACCCTTCTGTTGAAAGGTGAACCAGCAGGGAAGAAGATGGGCCTGGCTCAACAGAGTTGGCTGGAACTTGGTTGGGGGGGAAGGAGAGGTTGAGCTCTGGAAGAAGGGGCAGGCAACTCAGGAAGATTAGAAGGATGTTGTGAGCTTATGCAGGGAGAAAATTAGGAAGGTCAAAGGCCAGCTAGAACTTAATCTGGCTTCTGCTGGAGAATGCAATAAAAAATGTTTCTATAAGTATGTTAACAACAAAAGGTGGGATAAGGAGAATCTCCATCCTTTACTGGAAGGTCAAAGGCCAGCTAGAACTTAATCTGGCTTCTGCTGGAGAATGCAATAAAAAATGTTTCTATAAGTATGTTAACAACAAAAGGTGGGATAAGGAGAATCTCCATCCTTTACTG